TTTATCCTTTTTGACACCATCCTCAGCCTTTGTTCTTCCTTGAATATGATAAAGTCCTCTGCATTCTGCTTTCTCCTTGAACTTCTAAATTCCATCTAACAAGCATATGAAGTCATTAATTCAAATTCTGCATTCTTGTGCAACTGACATGGAGTGGTCTATCCTATATCTTGGTTACACTTGATATTTTCCAAGGTGGGTTATAGTTTTATAATCATGTTATTCTATGGAAGTATCTAACGTAAACTGACCTAGAGTGGTCTATCTTATTCCTCGATACTTTGAGACTTTCACTCTTGTGTTACACTTAATGTGACTACAAGCGGTTGTAGTTTTAGAATCATATTATTTCCTGGAAATACCTAACTTTAAAGGGGAGCGGGATCATGAGTAGCAAAAATGATTTGCGCTTCTAATTATCTGATACCTAACTTATAGTTCTGGAATGAAATGAGTCTAAATGGACCAAAACGGGTATTGAGGATTCATATAGCTGATCCAAACAAGCTTGGGATTGAGACATGTTGCTTTTATTGAGTATTTAAAGTCAAATCTGCAATTGTTGACAATTTCATTTTCATCTTTGGGTTTTCAAATGCAGGTTCTGAAGGCACAGAGTGCTGCTAAAGCAAAAGGCTACTCTGATGTTCTGTACCTTGATAGTGTAAACAAAAGATATCTAGAGGAGGTTTCCTCTTGTAATGTTTTCATTGTGAAGGTATAATACTACGTCAATTTTATCTGTGCATGTTAAGAATATGGTGGGTAAAAAAATATAAATTGTTGCTAGCCTAGAGAGGAGTACAGTTATTAAGATTCACCAAGTTTTTGTCAAACAGTGCATTTGTCCTACATGGATACTTTAAATTCTCTGCACAAACTTCTTTACACATTATCATATTGATGAAGGCAACTATTTCTTTTAAATACTATTTTCTCAGGGCAATCTGATAACAACTCCTGCAATTGAAGGAACCATTCTTCCTGGTATTACACGAAAGAGCATAATTGATGTAGCTGTAAGCCAAGGATTTCAGGTACCCCTGTTTGCCTTTACATAAACATGCTTGAGTACTAATCCTACTTGCCATCGCGTAATGGTATGAATACTTACTTTTTGTGTTTCATTACGGTGCAAGCATTTGGAGTTCCTTTTTTTTTTCTTCTAAAGTTGAATTATTTGAGAGCCTTGGTATATAAGAATATATAGACCCTGTAACTGAACTAAGGAAGACGTAAAGATGATGTTCGTCATATTTGTAATGAACACCAGTCTAGAAGACTCAGAAGAAATGAATATTGTGCTTACCCAATCTTAGCATATAAGATTGACTTAGTTAAATGAAGATAATTATGGGTTTTACATTTTCAGTGGATGAGCAACAAAGATGTTGCGGATTAGGGGTGTCAAACGGGCAGGTTGGGCTGAAATTAAGCGGGTCAAAATGGGTTGAATTAATAAATAAAATTAATTGGGCTAAAATGGGCTAAAAAGCGGGTTGGGTCATGACTGCCCAATTTGACCCACTTAAAATACAACAGATATCAAGTTCAATGATCTAGATCAGGCCTCACATTTAAACTTTGTAATGTAATTATCTTCCAGTAATATAAAACTCCAATGATGGATCAGCCCAAATAGTGTTAACAACATATCAACTGCCAGCTTAATAGGTATGCTTCAATCAGTTTTTGACAAAATAAAGATTTTCAATAAAAGAAGTACCAAAGATGGTACACAAAACTACGTGAAAGGCTCAAAATCAGCCTAATTACAAAAATCTTTTTGCATATCACTCCCATGCTCAAGCATTTCAAGACCATTGTTATAAGCACTAAAATTGCAATTCGTAGAACCAAGATATACTTCCAAACAATTTTCTTGCAGCACACACACAGTTCTTAGCAACAATGAACCAACAAAATAGAATCCCAAGTTTGCATAAGCTATGTTAGAAACTAATCTATCACCTTCGTTGACAAATCTAACTCCTCCCTATGAACCTAAACCTCATGTGATGATGAAAGGCAGAATAGCCTGGCAGACACTTGTATTTGTTGGCGTTGACATCCCGGTCCCTATACTCAATAAAGTTTCATCTAGACACTTATAGTTGTTCTAAGCCAATATTTTAAACCCCTCTCACCTTGCGTGTTCTTCAAATCTCTGACATGGATGACGCATCAGTGGCCACGTCAAGTTTTCTGTTACACATCATTATTAATTTATTTTTCACATTATTTTAAAATTGTTCATTTTCTTTTTTCTTATTCCACCTTCCTCCTCCCTCACCATTTTTATTCTCCATTATTCCCCGCACATTTACCATTCAAATTCGTTGTATTTAACCACAAATCTTAAATATCTCCTAACCACCACCGCGTGCGACCCCTCTTCGATCATCCTTCACCTACAAAGCTTCTTCACAACCAACACTCCACCATAGCATCACCAATCAACCACCAAAAGAAGAACCGGCCATCAAAAATGACCACCCGAAAGACCAACATCACCCAAAACCTTTTGAAATTTCATTACAGGAAAACTAGAAAATAGGTTTCACCGGCGATCTTCTTTCACTATTTCTATTTCATTTCTTTGCAAAGCCTATTTTCCAAAGTAGGGGAATGAGGATGTGAGAAAAAAAATTCCCCAAACGTTGCTGCAAATCTGGTAGATGTTTTGGTTTTATGGCGACGAAGGATGTCATTGTTTGGATGAAGATATGGTGGGAAGGGTTCTGTTGCTGTGGGTTTGGGGTTAAAATGGGGGAAGAGGAGTAACGTGAAGAAGGGAGAGAGATAGAGAAAAGAGGGNTTCTTTTTTGCTTATTTTAATCATAAATATTTTATGTTCACGCTCCTTATACGCGTGAAATACACGATTTTGTCCAGTTCAACAATTAAGTGGTCACATAGACTTGGTCAATGATCAGAGGGGTTTAAAACATTGATTTTGAACAACTATAAGTGTCTAAATGAATCTTCTTTGAGTATAGGGACCGGGGTGACAAACACGAACAAGTACAAGTGTCTACGAGGCTATTCTGCCATGATAAAACTTTAAGAAAATCCATTAGAGAAAACTAATTGCTCCTTCTACATTCCAATAGAAACAACAGGCTTGCACCGGTCAAGATATCCACAAATACTCCATAAAGAACCAATCGTCGCAGCATGCCGGCTTGCACCGGTCAAGATATCCACAAATACTCCATAAAGAACCAATCGTCGCAGCATGCCTGCACACATTATCAGCTTAATCAACATTACCTACAAGTAAAACCAATTAATGGCAAGAAAGATTGATCAAGAACCCATCCAACTTCATTGAATTCTTATCTCTTTGGGTCATTGGGTCATCATCTATAGGATTCATTAACTACACAAATGTATGGAAGTTCTATAATCACAATCTAAGGATAACAAGCAAACTAATCAAATAAACAATCCATGTCCGATACAAACAAACTAGAGGAAAATAACAATGGAGTGTGCACAAAAGGTTATACCAATACTATGAAAATCAATTCCAATTGTCACTGGCAAGTCATTTACGGAGAAAGAAACAGAAAAACAAAGGCCTTGTAGTGAGGACAACTATTCTCCAAGAGGATAAAAACTCGTTCGCCCAATTAAAAACAAATAATGACCATTTCTTCCCGAACTCCGACAAAAAACCACAAGTATTGTCTAATGTCTAACTTAGCTGCTAATGTATCTGCGGAAGGTTAGAAGAACGAAAACCTGCAGATATCACCAAGCTAACTGAAAGTTTTGGCAGCAATTTTCTGCACGTCTATTGCAATGATCTTCCTCTTCAAAATGAACTGTAGCTATATGCATACATATTAAAGAAAAATTGTCAAGCTACAAGAATGATTTTATAAAACAAATTCCATATGATAATATTTTACCTTGATGACCATAAAGCCAATCTCGCGAACACAACTTAGCTTCTGTATTCTAAGGTAAAATAGAACTCTATATTTATCATTGACACGACCTCCAATGCTGAAAACAAACTCGGATGCAACAATAGTGATATGAATACTTAACAAATCACATGCAATCAGTGAGAATTCCGGTTATTTGATCTTATTATCCTTCCAAAACTTAAGCACATCTAGATCTTCATTTCCTTTGCGAACCAATACGGGCTCTTCCAAGGTAAAATTTAGTTGTATTTTTGAAATGGACTTTCAAAAATATCAAACTCATCCATTTCATTCACCATTCAATATCACATCTACCACTACTACTTCCCACCATATTAACACCAGAAATTGGACATTTCAAGTACTCTCTAAAAACATTATGCATATTATGTTGAACAACCTTTACCTTTTCATTGCAAGTGAGTGGCTCAAGTGGCGGGAGTGGTGAAATATTGCAATAAATAAATTATATGGAATTTAAACATATGGAATTATTGTAATAAATATATTTGTTGGCGTCCAGTCATTATGTAAATCAAAGTATAGACTTTGAATGGTCAAGTTTATTTATATTTTTGTGGAACATTTTTTATAATGATAAATTTCCTTGACTTTCATTTTCTAAAAAAAAAAAGAAAGGAAAATAGTAAGAGTGTTACCGTTTTTATATTTGAGAAAGAAAAGAAAAAAAATACTAGATGAAAAGACTATTTACGTTAGAATCCCACTAATGCATAGTCATTACCGTGTTATCAAAGGCGAAAAGTGCAAAACGCTCTAAGGACTATTGGGGCTTTAAACGCAAAGCGCAAATAAAGCGTGGGCTTTAATGTGAAAGACGTAGATGGAGAAATGATACTAATATGTATGTGTAGTCAAAGACTAATAATTAAACGCATGAATAACAAATCTATGGACAACGAAATTAAAAAAAATTTGCCACAAAGTGTTATATAAATTGTTTGACCACCACCACATACTAAATTGTGGCCACACTGAGTCCAGAGTGTAGTGTTTACTATCATCAAATCAACCACAGGCCCCATGGGATTGTCCTACACTTTATCACATCAAGCAATTTAAGATCTTCACCTTCCCCTTTAATTATAGATATCGTCTTTATATTTGTAATTTTGATTTATACTGATATAGCTCATAATTATTTAAAATTTGATTATAATGTAAACTTAATTTTTATGTAAAAACCCCAAAAGAAAGAATTTAGATCCTAAAATGCGAATTGGGTGTATATATCAGTAAAATGGGTAATTTGGCAATTACGGTTAATATTAACAATAACAATACACTGGGACAACCAATTTATCTGCCCCTGCATCCTTTTTTCTAAATCTCCTGCCTAAGAATTCTTTTAATAAAAGACCTTAATCTTTTCAATAGAGTATATATACACATATGCTGTTAATGTTTTCTTTCCCTTTTCAGATAATATTACTTATATCGGTAGGAAATAATTCAAGTTAATATGATGTTAACCATGTGTTTGCAATATACTACCTTAGATATTATTGTAAAAAACTTTATCTCTAATGTGAAGATTTGAGTAGTTTAACTCAAAATTCTGAAATATTTCTACTAGTAAAAAGTAGACAGTCTTTCTTTCTTTTTTTTCTAAAGATTTTTATACTTTTATTTTTCTTTTTTACAAACTTCAATAGTGTCTAAGTGAAAATAAAATCATAAAATCCACTACTAAAATTTTTTGGGGTCGAGAAATTTTGGGGAAGCAAACACTTTACTAGCCTTCCCCTTGAGGTACCCCTGTGCAATAGCCAAATATAAATGAACAAGATAGTATATATTTTTTATTTGCAAAAAAGAAAAAGTAAGCCAGAGAAACCTTTTACCCACAAGAATCCTAGAAAAAGCTTTGTGATTTTAAAAGCAAACTAATCAATCTTTTAAAAATAATTGCTAAATAATTAATATCATACCTTTAAAAAAGAAAATAAACTTTTTCTAACCAATTAAGTGTGCTTGCATGAATTTGGAGAAGAACGTTTTTTTTTCCTTGGCATAACTTGATCAAATAGTCAAATACACATACACATAGACATATTATCTTCATCGACTACTTGATCAATGCGTGGATGTTATGTAACTTCATTATTTGTTAATTAATTGTCTAATTCAAGACCTCCACCTTCTCCATTTGTAATAATCACTCAATTTTTAAATAGATGAATAAAACAGCAATAAATTATAAAGTCAGAGTTTGTAAGCCTCGAAAATAGTATACATTAAATACTGTAGCATTCTCGTGGTTATAGATAGATTCATGCAAAATTTTAGAAAGAAAATTGTTTATCAAAAGAGTATTAGAACATTTGTACAATTTGAAGTCTACGAAGAACAAAAAAGAAGATCGTTACACTAAATCCGACTAAGATTATAACAAAATTCGGAAGGAGATCGTAACAGAAATAACTTTAGGCCCTTAATGAAATGTAAAAGAACACATGGAAATCTGGATGTTGAATTAGATACCTCCAACAATTCTACCATTCGAAATCAAACAAAAACAAATCAGTTAATTAATTTGAAAAGAAAATACGTTTCTAGAGCAATTTCCCACCTATAACTCACTCCAGATGTTCACAAGGCAGCCTTCAATTTTCAAGGTACAGCAAGAAAAATATGCTAATCATTTTCCAGAATTCATCTTCATCTCTTTTTCATTTGCTTCCATTTTATCCCTAGGCTTTTTATAAATGTCAGCTTGTATGAGAATCCCTTGTTCTCATTACTGTTTTAGCTCCAAATGATAAAACAAAGCTTGAAACATAAGCATGACTTGTCAACTCCCAATTGAAATATGATTTTTGTTAACATCTATCAAAACTCCTTCAAATTAAGCTTGCATTCTGCCTGGACCTCAGTCACATCTTCACCAACGCTTTCTACTACAACAACAACAAACCCAGTGTAATCCCACAAGTGGGGTTTGGGGACGGTAGTGTGTACGCAGGCCTTACCCCTACCTTGTGAGGGTAGAGAGGCTGTTTCCGATAGACTCTCGGCTTAATTTTTGATTCTCTGTGTGCCAAGAGAAAGGTCTTTAAACAAATGGTCTTATTTAGCATAAAGGAAGCTAAAACTTCCAATTGAAAGATCACGAAAGTACATAATCTGCAGCCTCATGACCAAAAATGCATGGGAAGAGATAGCTGGACCATTTCGGATTTTCATTGACCTTCTCTTTCATCAAGTGTGTATATGCCCATGACCTGTGTAGAGCTACAATACAAAGGTTCAGGATTCGGAATAAAGACTTACATCTATAAAGTCATAAAACATTTTCCAACATGACAAGGAATTAAGAAAAAAAGTTAGTTATGGACTGCTTGCAGTAGAAGGAATGGTATCGGGCCGATGAAAAATGTAGTTGATGGCAAAGTGGTTCTGTTTTTCTTAATTACCTGGATAATGACACATGAAAATCAGATATAATTGTCCCTTTATTTAAGAATGACAGATTTTTCTGAATAAGAAAAACGCATACCAAGTACATGTAGCCATCAAGGTCGCAGGACATTATCATCGCTTTATCAAGTCCACATCGTTCAGAATAAACTCCATATTAAGTTAGTAACACACATCATTTAGAATAAACTCCATATTAAGTTAGTAACACACATCATTAAGAATAAACTCCATTTTTTCTGTTGTAAGCTGAATTGTGGTATTCATGATCTTCCTTAAAATGCTACAGAATAGGCAACTGTGCAATAAGAATAATGGAGTTCTAGGAGGAAAAGCAAGACCCAGAAATTCACTGCATCAACAAATTTCACCAAATCACAACAGTTCTGTTCTGGAAGACACAAGTCAACTTTCATGAAATCCAAAAAAAGGAAGAAAATATGAGTTATAGCAACAAAAAAGAGAGGAAAATATGAGTTGTAAAAAAAGAAAAGAAAAAGGAAATAATATAACCTTTTGATTTCTTTCCGTTAGTAAATTGGTTTTACGCCTACTGCACCTAAAGAAAAAAGAGGAAAGAAAAGAAGTAAAGGAAAAAAATTAAAATAAATAAATAAAAAAGACATGAAAAAAATGAAGTTTTGGAAAGAATACCAGTATGGTAAAGACTTACCGTATCAGCATTCTGTCTTTGACAATTTCAAATTGTGCTTTTTCATCTCTTTACTTTTCTCTTCTTTCATTTCCTTATGTTTTTCTTTTCCTTTTTCATTTCATATTCCTTTTCTCTTTTTGTTTCCTTTTTCCTACCATTCAATTCCTCCGAAAAATAAGAAATTGTCAGTATATTAATCATTTATTTGTCTCTGTAACATCTTAGGTGCATGTTGTTTTTGGTACTATTCGACACTTCCCATGAAATTTCTTCCTTTTCTTCTTTGCTGGATTTCTTTTTTTTTTTGGGGTGCTATTCGACACTTCCCAGACACAGCCCACTTCTAATTCATCTTGTGCCCAACCCATGCAATTCTGGGCGAGTTGGGCGCGTCATCAATCTTTGGGCCATATTTGACACCCCTATTGCGGACATACGTAACCAAGAGTTGTTTTCTAGTGTTAGCTGTGAAAAGTTTGGCTTACAATCTCTAATTTATGCAACAAGGGCAATGTTTCTCCATTGCTTAAATCACCTAGACAGAACTATTGAGTGATAGAATTGAACTTCAATAACTATGGCATATATGTTGGTCATCGGGCTGGAAGAACAAATTCAGTTCTTCCCACAGTGAGTCAAATTTGTAGCAAGGACGTTTTGATGATTAGGTTCGTGACATAATGATGGACTTTACCTTACCATTAAACAATTGAATTTGGGATTGGATCTATCTTTAAAAAAACCAAATGAATTTGGGAAAGAATGGGAACTTCCTTTATTTTTCTGCAAGTAGTTCACTTGGCAGAGCCAGTCACTAAATGCTTCATGCATGACAGGACTATTATTCTAACACCATAGTATTTTAATGTAGGTTGAAGAACGGCATGTATCTGTGGACGAATTGCTTGGTGCTGATGAAGTGTTCTGCACAGGAACTGCAGTGGTTGTATCTCCTGTGGGCAGCATTACTCGCATGGGCAAAAGGTATATACATAAATTAGAATGGATTAACATCATTATTAATATAACCATTTTCAGTGTATTATCTTTTTAGTTTTGTTTCCCTCCTGCTGCAGCGAGTGAGACGGCCATGAACATATCCTTTTCAATACATGAATACTAATGCGAATGTTCGTATTGTTGGGAAAATAAACTTGGGAGAAATAGAAAACTAATGGGCAATGGCTTTGATAGAGTAATCTATGTTCAGAAGGATTTAAGCCAAAATGAAATCCAAGTTCAGCAAAACTTGAATTTTCCCCAGTAACACAATTTGAGTTTTTCAGAATATTAATGAGAGAATTAATTTCTGACTTCAACTAGGTTTTGGAGGTGAAAGGTAATTTCATAATACCTTAAAACACGACTGTTGGAACATGCAACTTTTTGACAGTACCTTCAACCATCATCTTTTTATTTAAAATTTACACTTGCCTTTTCTTCTCTTTCCAATCACAAACTACACTAACACGTGTGGATATCTATGCTGACTTTAGAAGGAAAAAAATATCTAGGTTTGGAAGGTTTTGATTAAAGACTTGCTCGTTTACATTTTTGCAGGGTAACATATGGAAGTGATGGGGTTGGTCGTGTATCACAACAATTATATTCTGCTCTTACTAGCCTACAAATGGGACTATCAGAGGATAAGATGGGTTGGATTGTCGAGCTGAAGTGAGCTTTGGCATCTAAGTGATAGTAGTACCTTTGTGTTCTCCTTTTCCTAAAATTTGTGTGTAAGTTTTCGACTTGTTGTGACATGTACTTGTCTCTTTATCAGTTAACAATTTCGGTTGTTACATCTCTGTATATATCTTTGATTATATACTGGGTGGAGAAGTAACTGCGGGGTGTCGTAAATTTTTCCCCTAGACCCCAAAAAGACACAAGTCTGTTTGGTGAAAGCGCGAAACTAGGGGTCTCGGTCCCGTCCCGCAAAAGTATAGGAGGATGGGATATGGGATTAAAGGGTCAACGGATGGGACGGGCCACACATTTCGTCCCGGTGGGCTGGCCCGATAAGGGCCCGGTCTCGACCCGTCCCGGCTCGGCAGCCCGCGAGTTTTTGTTTAAAAAAAGAAATGAAAGAACCGTTGATCAATGACTAATTTTTCAAAAATAGCCGTTAGTAAAAACTATATATGGCCAAAAATGGCCCCAAACACTCCTACCCTCCCAAACTTTTAATTCAACCCCTAAATTTATTAAATTATATTTTGGCCCCAAAAATGCCCCCAAACACCCCTACCCTTCCAAACTTTTAATTCAACCCCTAAGTTTATTAAATTATATTTTGGCCTTATTTTTAACTATAAAAATCCCACATCCTTCTTCATTTTTTCCCCACAAATCTATCATTTTCTCTCTAATCTCTTATATTCTCTCTATATTCTTCTCTCAATTTTCTCATAATTAACTACGTTTCAAGTATTGGGCAAATTTTTGGAGCAAGTTTTAAGCTTCAAATTAATTTGAATTTGGAGCAAGTTTTTAGGTAATTTCTTCACGTTTCAATATTTGATCATCATGCACTCGTTCCATATCCTAATTTTTATATTTAGTTTTTGCGTATCATTTTAGTGTTTAATTTTTGTATTAACTTTAAGTGTTTAATTTTTGTGTTTACTTTTCGTATTTAAATTATGGCTCCTACAAAGTATTTGGCAAGCTCAACCCATTTAAAAAAAAGTAGTAAAGGTGCTAGTTGTAGTAGTAATCCTAATTTTCTTCCTAGAGTTAGAAAATGTATATAGACGAAATGACTCATATTGATGAAACTTCCTTTATCCAAACCCTTATATATTATGATATTAATCCGAAAGAACCACTAAATCATGAAACTTTACAAAGACTAGTCTATTATGATAGTAGTAAAGGCTTTAGGCTTGAATTTTTTTAATTTTATTTTATGAATTCTTGCTTAGTTACTTAATAGTTTGAGATTATATTAAATAAACTACAAGTCTATTATAATTACTAAAATATTTAGCTACAAATCTTTTGTTTTAATATTTTATAATTTTTTACTTAGTTTTTGTATAATTTATTAAGTTTTAAGTTCATTAAAAAGGTAAAAAGAACTAGCCGTTGCAAACTTTAAAAAATTAGTCATTGCCAACTTTAAAAAAATAACTTTTGCTATCTATAAAAAAGATAATTGTTGCCAACTTTAGTGCTTAAATAATTAAATTTAATTTTTTTTTAAAAAGGCCCATGTCCCGTCCCGTTTGTTGGTGGGACGAGATGGGCCTAGCGGGTTGTCCCGTTTGGATAGGCCCGGTCCCTTCCTGTCCTAGTAAAATTCTATCCCGGCCCGTCCCGTTGGACAGCTATAGGTGAAACTGCTTTTTTTGATATTTTCAATTTTATCATCGTCAAAACTCCATCATTGTACATTTACAAGTTTATTTGACAAGTTGTAGTTCCTATTCCTATAAATGCCTGGCCATAGATATGAGAGAATGTTATGGTCGTTACATCAGAATATGTATTGCATCTGAAGGGCAGTAAGTTTCTAATATATTATTTCTTCTTCAAAATCTTAATGCAGACTCGTGATTTCACATAATATAAATATATTGTTGTACTAGAATCCCCAGTCTTTTTGTTAGCTGTATACGCCAAATTTAGCATGTGCATGTTACGAGCTAAATTTGCCTGCCTCCAACTCTTACATTACAAGTAGTCACCTCCTCTAAATTATCAATTAGATCGCTCTTAAAACTTTACTAATAATTCATTTTAATTTGTGTTATTTATATAGAACATTTTATTGAACAAGACTCTACAATGATCATTTTAATTATTCAATTTCGGTTACTGTCGCTGCTATTGTTCCATTCCCTATCTTTCCGTAGATTCTACAGTTCAAAGTTATCATTCCAACTAAACACATCATTAAAAATTGCTAGAATATGAACATAGATCCGACATTCAAATATCTATTCTCTTGTCAGTACTTATTTATTGGTATTTTTTATTCCTGCCAGTGAAAAACTTGTGATTTACCAATTTAAAAATCCTTACGAATAGATTAATATACAATTGCTATTTTATGCTTTTCATGTAAAAAGGGAAACTTGAAGAACAGTTCTTAGGACTCAAATAAGACACTGCAAAAGAACATTCAAAGAGCTCCAACACTCAAACCGACAAAACACAGGAGCTCCCACACTAGTCATCTAACTATAACTCTCCTCCGCATGCCCAAATATATATGACAAATAAATCCTTGAAACTGTATTTAACAAAGAAATTATTATATTTAGAATTTAACTTCTACGTGGACAATGTAATTTTTTTAACACTAATAAGCTCGCTTAAAAGATAATTGCAGGTGATCTTTACTAAAAAATGGAGATTAGTAACCTAAAAAATAAGGTATATTACTTGTTACAACATGTTCGAATATATTGACAAGGCGAAAGTTATTTTACGCTGCCAATGTATATATTTATGTATCATTACTCCTCCTCCTATAACTTATTACCACCTAGGGATGGCAATGGAACGGTGCGGGTGCAGGTGCAGGGCGGTGTGGATGCAACATAGGGCGGGACGGATTGAATTTTTTTTTAAAAAAAAATTTGCAGGGAGGACGCGGGTATGGCTGCGGGTTTGGCCAAGAAACATATACTAATTCAAAATTTTACATTGACGCTGCTTATAACAGTCTACTAGTGTTGTACTATATATTATTTTACTTATTAGATTACATGGTTTCTCACCTTTATAAATAAGATGGAGTAAGAGCTATTTGTACTTTTCCTTTCTTGATGATTTGGGGATTGAAGTTTCAACTTTCAAACGACTCATAACAGCAGGAATAATAATGTTAAAACAACCAAGCTTATAGCAATTGTAATTAAAAAAGACAAAAACTTAAACAGAAAACTCATTAATTTAGAAAAGTCTTCCTAAATTGCAAACAATTAGTGAAAAAAAAAGATAAACCAAGGCTTGATATGGTAACAAGTAACAACTGCAAGACACTGTCACCTTGGTTTTGTTAGGGAGGTGCTTGTATAGGATTTGGGTTTAAATTAAATTAATACTATTTCAGAAAAATTGAAAAAGAAGTTTATGAATCTTAATTTTTACTATCAAATTCATTCAAAAAGAAAATAATAATAAAAATTAAGCGGGGCGGGGTGGGTTGAAAACAACAAATTATGTGATGCGGAGCGGGTTGAAATCTTCACGAGTTTATGCGGGTTTGCCCCGCAACCGTACCGCACCGTTTGACATCCCTATTACCACCGCTACCACTATTGTAGTAGTTGTGGTGCTAATGGTATACTACTACAACTGGCTACGAAAACCACGTATATTTTTCCGAGGGACAAAACCGACAGAATTAGGATATCCAACAAAAAATCAACGGAACATATTCTGTGAAGAATAACCGATATAAGGACATAGGGTGTGTTTGGTATAACGGAAAATGTTTTCCGTGGAAAATATTTTTCAAAAAAATAAGTAGTAATCTTATTCATTTTTTGGTGTTTGGTACGCGTAAACTTCCAAACACATAAACCTCCGAACTTATAACTTTGAAACTTGTAAAATTTCGAACATGTAAACCGGAAGATGAAAAACCTAAAATTGAAAATATATAAAAAAACATATTTTTTTCGGGGGAGGGGAGGACAGGAGGGTATGGGGGTGCAGAAAAACGATAAAACAGAAATTTGAAATTACAAAACAAAAAGTAAAAANTAAAATTTGAAAAAACAAAAGCCTTTTCTAAGAGAGGGGGTGAGGTGGATAGGCATGGGGTTGGGTTAGATGGGTGGGTGTGGGGTGTGGGGTGGGTTGGTGAGGATGGGGAATAGGGTGGGAAGGTTGAGAAGGAGTTTTGAAAAATATTTTCCCTTCTCCTGATAAGGAAAACATTTTCCTCCAATCGAAGAAAAATAAGTTAATAAGGAAAATATTTTCCAAAATATTTAAACCAACCAAACATGAAAAAATTGAAAAATATTTTCTTTCGTACCAAACACACCCATAGTTGGAAAATTTTCGATAGATCCCATTGGTTAAGTAAATTAAAAATAACAGACTGTTATCTGATAACTTGTTATTGCTGCTGCTGTTAGTTGCTATGGTTACATTCATTCTCAATGCGGTACCCTAGATATTTTCCAATTCACAGGAGTGAAACTTCATTTTCCGGTTTCAATCTAAGTTGTCATGAACAATATTGAAATAGCGTCACCAATTAAAAGGAAAACGAAAGCTGCATTTTCAGGGAAAAAGATGGAGTAAAGAGACTTCTAGTATTGATAAGTTAGATGGCCAAATAAACAAATTGTAAGGGACTTCGCTAGTAAACACGAAAAAAGAAGAGGCAATGAACCCGTAAAATGGTACGGTTAAATTTGTAACGTGGTTTATAGATAAACAAATCGATTTGATCCCAAAATAATAAATAACTTAAATAAAATGCAAAACTTAGCGTTGAAATCGAGATAAGACAGCAAATAGCTTGACTTCGGGAGCAAGGCTTCCGAAGACAACAATAAGAATATAAAAAGACAGAAAATAAAGTATTATTGAGTTTAGAACAATGTGTAGTATTAGTCTGTTAGAAATTTCGTGTGTTACAATGGTTGCTGAAGTCACTATTTATAGCTACACCTAAAGAACAAGGTTATGAATGCTAAAATTCTCTGTAACGGATTGGTATTTAATAATGAAGAATATTTTTCATTAAATGTAATCGGGTGGCAAACATTTGTTTATCTTCGTTAGCAATGTTCCCTCTGGGGTCTGCCTTGTGCCAAACGAAGCTGTTGTCCCCGGTCT